CATAATTTACAAGTTCCTGCATTTCATTTTTATGGACATTAACATCAGTGACTTCTAGCATCTGCCTTCAAACTTCTGGTTGATATGGTCAGTTGTGGAAATTCAGAGGTGAACGTTCCCCAACATTTAACTCAGTGTGAAGAGTCTGAAGAGTGTGGGGTCATTTCTTTTTAAAGAAACCATGGTGGATTTCAGTCCTGTAGCCACTAACTTTACTGGTTCCAGTGTTTGACCCAGTAGTTCTGTTGTGCTTTAATGGTGCCAAATTTTGATTCTAGTAGAATTTGTTTTGTTTTATGTCAATAAAACCACACAAACAAACAAAAAGTAGATAATTTTGTTTGAAAAACAGAAACAAAACAATGTGGTTCCACATTTCTATTGGAAAGAAGTAATATCCACATATTGTTTTAGTTTGTATTGTTGGTCACTGTATGAAATCTGAAATATCAGCTGATAAACTATAACGTAGTGGTAAAAGAAATTCTTTAAAGCCAGTCTGGGAATTCTTATTTGAACCAGTCATTTGATGAAGTGTTTCTTTGTGCCCATTATCATAGTGCAAAAGTTCAACTATAATTAAATGCATTCAATGCAACACATGAAAGAAAAAAGAAAGGAGAAAACTTTTCATGGATATTTGATCACCGGGACCTAAAATGATATTAATTTGAAAAACTATTTATTGCACTACTAGTATCACCACTCAGTGGGTCTGGTTTTTTAAAGCATTGAACTAAATATGCTATATGACACATTTACGCTGTCATAGCTCGTGTTGTATCCAGTTTCTGCTTGGAGCCTGAGTTAAAGACACATTGCTGTGTAGATACAGTCCATGTGTGTGTCTGAGCTGAACTGTAGTCCAGGTGACCCAGTGGTGTTTATAAGGTGATGAGGCAGAGTTTCGACTAAAAACAGAGACTAGACTAATCGACTAAACAGTTGTTCAAATCCCTGCAACCACCTTTTGTCCTACTATCAGCAGCATGTGTTTGACAATCACCAAAGCTGAAAACAGACTGAAAGTGCCTCAAGATACAGATCTACCAGAGATCCTTGGCTGGATTTTGTGTTGTTTTCCTTTCCTTCTTGTTGACTGATTGGACCGTTTGAACAGGGTATGTATTTTTTCCTCTCATAAATGCGTCTGCGTTAGTCTTTACATGTTTGTGAATCTTCATCCGTGTTCACTTCTCAGCCTTCTGGTTCTCATCCCTGGCAGGGCCACTCCCAGGAAACATCTCTGGGTTTTCCGCCAGTGTGGCTCTCACTCTTTTCTTCTCCTTAAACCTCCCAGAGTGTGACACTTTGACGTGACGCCCCTTACTGGCTGTCGTCTTGTCCACGATCTTCCCCAGTCGGGCTTCCAGCTGGGCATCTTCTGCTTGGGCAGCAGCTCCTGAGGCTGCACTTGAACGATGCTGACTGCTGGGTGAGTTGGACACAGACTCTGGAGGGATTTCATACAAAACCTTTGGTTGGGATTTTTTTCTCCTCATAAAAGTGAGCTTCCACCAGCCTGTCGATGACTCTGCCATGATGAATAAAATGTGGGGTGGAATAAACCTTAAGAGAACAAAAAAAATGAATTAGGATGGCTATAAGAAAACTAGAGACTCGTTAATTTGTTATAAATAATTGTATTTAATAAGAATAATGTGCATGTGTGGGTAATAATTTCTGTTTATATGTGTGTGTCTGTGTGTCTAAACACTTTCTGCCCATGGCATTGTTAATATTTCAGTGTAATCCAATAGTTTCCACATTTCGTGGATATGGACATACTCATATTACTATATGCGCGTGTGTCTGCATGTCTGTGTAAAAAAAGCTGAATAGGAAGGCAAACATATAGGAAGTCATTGTGATTAATCCCCAGTGGGTGTGTGTGGGGTGTGTGCATGTCTGATGTCAAATGATATGTTACAGCTCCTTGGAATTGTTAGTCTGCCTGCTTATCAGATCTACTTGCACTTTGCACTGCAATCAGCTGATTTCAGTTCAGTCTCTCAGTCTACAGAGTGAATTTGGACATTACTTTTCTTTTTATTGCACAGAAGCACGAGTTACAGGGCGATCTGTCCAGAACAGAAAACAGAAAACTCTGGCTCTTTGCAAAGATCTGCACCAAACAGCATGCTAACGCTAAGCTAGCCAAGAACTCACAGTGATATTAAAAGCTGAGTGACCAACCCCAGCCTAGCAGCCATGCACTGGACTTCATCAGCTAACAAACCGATAACCAGTCAGGTAGCAGCCTCCATTTCTATCTGTTCAAGTTTCTGCAGTAGAATCACTGGAAGTCTCAGTGGGCTTGTTTTCATCTGTGTTTTGTGTCGTCCACATTGTGTTAATACCCAAATACTAAGAACATATGTGCGTCCTCATTAGGGAAGAAATAACCCCAACACTGATCCCAGTAAACCTCCAACATGCACGAACATTTTTATAACGTATCTATGTATCTGATAGTTGTTTGATAGATGTTACCGCCACTAACTGTACTCGCTGACCACCTTGACCACTTGTGTGTTTTTAGTGCAGTAATCCCTATATGGGATTGTGTGTTGCACCCATACAGTTTATTAATGTATCTTTTTATGGTAAATGGTAATGGCCTGCATTTGTATAGTGCTTTTCTAGTCCCTAAGGACCCCAAAGCGCTTCACACTACATTCAGTCATTCACCCATTCACACACAGGCGATGGCAAGCTACATTGTAGCCACAGCTGCCCTGGGGCGCACTGACAGAGGCGAGGCTGCCGGACACTGGCGCCACCGGGCCGTCTGACCACCACCAGTAGGCAAACATGGGGTTAGTATCTTGCCCAAGGATATTTGGCATGCAGCCAGGAGGCAGCCTGGGATCGAACCACCTGAGCCACCTGAGCTACAGCCACCCCTTTTTAACTAAACTTGGTTGAAAATATGGTCACTTCATATTTCAAAAAGCAAACTAACAAGTTAATTTAATTACTGTACATTATTGGTAATACAGTAATATAATGCATTACTGTATAACAATTGTGTTGATAGCTGCATTACAAAGCTTTTCAATTCTCTGCATGATGAAGGGTTTACCGAAAAACACAACAAGAGCTCTCTATAAGCATCTACACAGATAACATGCTAACAGAAAGCTAACAGAAAGCTAGTCAGGAGCTCAGAGGGATGACAAAGCTAAGTGACCCCAGGCGAGCAGGATAGCCAGCTCTCAATGCTTTGAAAGATTCTTCTTCCTTTGTGTGTGTGTGTGTGTGTGTAAAAAAACTGTGTGACAGCAAGCTTGTTGCATTGTCGTCTCTATTTCTACCTGCTCATGTTTTCACAGTATAATTGCAGTTGCAGTCACTTTGGTTGGTTTGCAGCTTGCTGTGCATTGTCAGCTTTGTGTTTATACTTAATAACTAGATGGAGGAATTGAACTTGCTGTGAAGTTTGACCATCCTGCTGTGAAGCTAACAGCGCTGCCCTGCAATAAACCTGTAATGGCATTTTCTTATTGTTTAATCTTGACTGTTATATCTGCTGAACATTAGCACGCTAATACTCTCATGTGTAACTGTAGACAGAGAGAAGCTAACTCCTTCCCATGGCATTCAGTGTTTATGCAAAGCTAAGCTAATTTTCTTTTATCTGTGACTTTATTCTGTGTTTTGCATACAGATTTGAGATTGGTACAGATCATTTATCCAATTCTCAGCAAAGCAAGAAATAAATCCAAACTATTCTTTGGCTGCAGTAGACTCTGATTAAAACTATGCAACAATATGTGGACAGTACAGGCCATATAGTGTTAAAGTCTCCTACATGATCAAATAGTACCAGTGAGCATAATGATGGGCGTACTGGGCGGGGCAAAATACTATTAAATTTAATATAGGTGAAAGGGGAAAAAAAGGAAATCACCCAGCTTCATTCACATTGAGACCCCTTTTAAAAAAAATAATGTTCTATTATTTCGGCTTTAAAATGACCTATCAACTAAAGATCACCTAACTCTCCCAGCTGGCATGCAAACTGGCTGCAGGCCAGCTCCTGATCGCCTTGTGGCCCCAGGCAAGTTTTTCTCTCAGCTGAGCAAATAGAAACTGACCACATTGTTTTATTTTGTTCTGTTTCTTTTCTCCTCGCTCACACACATGCCCTCTCTCAGTTTCAGGAGCATATGATACGCTCAGCTAACTGACTGTTGTGGAGCTTCTTTTGTCTCTTTTGATGTCGGTTCTATTCAGCTTTGAAGTGATAGCGAGCATCGACGTCTGAACCACCGTCTTTGAACACCTTTTAACTGCGGCAGCCAATTTCCTGCTTGTTGTTTAAATTTAAATCTACGATCTCTTTTTTTTGTCGGCTCAAACACGTATTTGTCACACAATTCCTCGATGCGTCCTCACAACCGGTAGCTCCGAATTTAGGTTATTCTTCTCATCAGGATAAATTGCAGTAAGCTTGGTGATCCTCTGACTTTTGCTCTAGTGTGATCATCAGATCACATCCCCAATTATTCACATATTTTAAAACTGTCATCTGTAATTTATGCTAAATAACAAATACTGAGATGCTGAAAGAGGATGGTAAGCGTGGTAATGTCAAATTCAAAGCTTTTCCATTTATCTGCATTTGTGGCAATTCTAGAGTCTGTTGGGGTCCTAGGCAAAAAGTAACAGGGGCCCCTCCAAGAATTTATCACCATTGTCTGATGAATGCTGGTCAGAGGGGCCAGCGTTGGTTGTTTGATAATCATCGTGTCACAGCCTGCAGTGGTGGACACACTGAGAGGTTTAGTTTTGTTAAATCAATCCGGTGGGCCCTGATCAGGTCTCTCCAACCGTCAGCTTCACACAGCCACTGCTGCAGTTTAAAGTTTGACCGCCTGCTTATTTTCAAGCAGCACCTCTGTCTGTAAGGAATAACTGGCTGAAGAAATCTTGACCTGAAAATCCACTGGTCCTGAAAAAATGGGGGTAATTTATCAAACTAGCTGATGAGATTAGTGGACTGATGTCACAGATGCACATTGTTAACCAATAAATGTTGCTGACTAAGATAATGGCGGCCAAAGTCCAACTTGAGGCCTTAAAACAGGAGTCCAAAGACCCGTGGTTGTGAGGATTCATGCATTTAAAAGCAACGTGGCACCAAATGGTCAAAGTCCACAGACAGTTCATCTAGAAGGGATCGTCTGCCAAGCTCAATGCTATGAGTTTCCTTTAGTGATGCTCCACAACGCTCTATTCAGTTTGGCTTGGTGTCTGTTGTGTTGTAGGAAGAGCAACTGTCCTGTTAAATAACAAAATCATACATTATTGAACAGATTGGATCACTACTGTCACTGCAGATATGATGGTGCTCTGGGTGTAGTCTCTGCATTAATAGCCATAATGTTTACAATATGTGAGTGTGTGTGCGAGAGAGTATTGTACCTGGCAGGTACTAGACCAGAGTAGTGCTGTCAGATGATCACACAAAGCAGACATTAAAATGCATGTGCTTACAGCCACAATGTAGTGTAACAGCTCTAAGGAGCACATGTCTACAATCCAAGAACGCAAATGTTTTGTACAATCAATGAGCAGATTTATAGATGCACATATGTTATATATGTCCAGTAAATGTTGGCAAATTCAATGACAACTGGACTTTATGTGTGTGGATGAAACTGATAGCCAGCCTGAAAGGCAGACGTACCTAAGAAACCAAAACCCCACAGATCACTGATGAATGTAACGCTTTTTTTAATGTATTGAATTAATCCAACTGGAACTTTCAACAGTCAAAGATTGAATGCAGGGTGAGAAAATGTCAGAAGCTCAGAAACATTTCCTGATTAATGCATAAAGGCTTACTAACAAAAAACGATGTTCCTGCAATTATCAATGTTAAACAGCTTTGGGAAAAACGAATGTGTGGTCTGAGCTCACACTCTTCTGCCGGTGGAAAACCTACAATGCCAGCGTTTTCTCACATCGTTTGTGGGTTGTTTGTGTAAACGTTAAGTCAAAATGTATTTTGGCAGTGTTGAGAAAAATGACAATATTTGATCATTAAGTGAGAATCTGACATGGTGCTAATTTAAATAAAAAGTTAAGTAAGCATTAACAATGCCAAAGTAGCAGAAAATAAATAAAAGCAGTGTTTCAGCAGTGACTCTGCTCACTCACATTTTAACATGTCAGCTTTCTACTGATGCAGAAAGGAAAGAAGTAGTTTATTAAGATGCAGCTACTTAAAAGTAAAGTAAAAATAATTTTATTCAGTGGTTCCTAATCAAATGTACTGACCGGACCTTGCTTGGAATTAGATGAAAAATAGAAAAAAATATTTGAAGAAAAATCTTTTTCTACTTCTTTTTTGTTTTCTAATCTTTATCCTGTTTGTCAAACATTAACTACTGTAATGA